TTGTGTTGAGGGACAAAGTGTTGTCAATCCGGAGAATGGACTGACTGAATGGGAAGAAACTATTAATAAATGAAGTTCTCTGAAACCCTCTAGGGCATTTGATTAATACTATGTTTCTTTTTAATTTTTGTGGGTACACAGTAGTTGTATATATTTATGGGGTACATGAGCTGTTTTGATATAGGCATGCAGTGTGAAAAACACGTCATGGAGAATGGGGCATGTTTCTATTCTGTAGGACTAAGTGAGGAACAGTCAGGGATGTGTACGTATACTTGATAAACAGAAGATGCTTTTTTGCGAAGCTTTTTATTTTCTACAAATGAGATGGTATTTTGTGAAGTTTATGTGTCTTTTATGTTGACAGAGTTCTAGGTTAGAGACTTGTTGGTAGTTTGATAATACATACTGAAATGGCATTTAATAGATACCGGTAGGTATGTCAGATTTGGATGAAGAATTGGGAGTCTTTTACATTCCATTTTGCCCTGGAAAGGAATTAAGGGAGCTAGGATTGCATTTGTTAGACTACTTAGAGAAGTAGAAATGATATGGAATTAGACTTCAGCCATCCAACTAAGTGGAGAACTACCAATATTTAGATGTAGGACAAAATTATTTCCATAAAAATGGTAAATGAACTAGTCTTAAAGAACGTATTTAGTGATCATATTTTTATTCTAAGGGATAAAAAGAGCATGGGCTTTGTGTTCAGAAACCTGGATTTGAATCTGAATTAGTCTGGCACTTGTTAGATGCCTAACTTTGGGTAGAGTACTTAGCTGCTTTGAGGCTCCATTTCTCAACCTTGAAAATTTCTTATATTTCAAATTTTTTCATGTTTATATGACTGGATTTTCATGTTTTTACTTTCCTGAATTTTGAGCCATGTGCATTTGCTGTTGGTAGATACAGTTTCAGAGACTTACTTGTGTTCCATCTTTTGTTGTTGCCAGGATGGGATCAGTCAGATAAGTTTGTGAAAATCTACATTACCTTAACTGGAGTTCATCAAGTTCCCACTGAGAATGTGCAGGTGCATTTCACAGAGAGGTGAGTTCTCATTATAATGGGGAAGACAGTGATTATTAACAGTCAACATTGCCTCATCTTGGGACTCTTTTCTTTGCAGTTAGTAAAATTCTTCTTAAATTTAGAATTAATTAATCTTTACAACTACTAGGAGGTAAGCGTTAAAATCATCTGGGATGGCCACACACACACCCTGAAATAAAGCCAGTGGCTTTTTTTTCCACAAGAACTATGGAGTACCTTTCGTAGAACTAGAAAGATCATATTCCCCATTTTGTTGCAGGTCATTTGATCTTTTGGTAAAGAATCTAAATGGGAAGAGTTACTCCATGATTGTGAACAATCTCTTGAAACCCATCTCAGTGGAAGGCAGTTCCAAAAAAGTAAGTGTGCTTTATTTGGTCATACTGTTGTGAAACCTTACTAAATTGAACCTGGCTGATTTAGAATTAAGATGAACTGGAATGAATTTGTCCACTGTAATAGAGACTACTGCCTGTTTTGCAAATGTTTTATTGGAACATAGCCATGCTTATTTATTTGTGTGTTGTTTGTGGCTGCTTTTGTACTACAATGGCAGAGTTAAGTGGCCGCAGCAGACCATATGGCCCGTGAAACCTAAAATATTTACTATGTGGCCCTTGACAGAGAACGTTTGCCAACTCCTTTTGTAGAATAATAGGCTATTATAAGAATATTCCAGAGGCCAAGCTGGGTGGATCATGAGGTCAAGAGATCGAGACCATCCTGGCCAACATGGTGAAGCCCTGTCTCTACTAAAAATACAAAAATTAGCCGGGCGTGGTGGCATGCACCTGTGGTCCCAGCTACTCAGGAGGCTGAGGTGGAAGAATTGCTTGAACCCAGGAGGCAGAGGTTGCAGTGAGCTGAGATTGCGCCACTGTTCTCCAGCCTGGCAACAGAGCAAGACTCCGTCTCAAAAAAAAAAAAAAAAAAGAATATTCCAGGCCAGAGTGGCTCATGCCTGCAACCCCAGCAGTTTGGGAGGCTGAGGTGGGTGGATCACAAGGTCAGGAGTTCAAGACCAGCCTGGCCAAGATAGTAAAAACCTCGTCTCTACTAAAAATACAGAAATTGGCCAGGCATGGTGGCGGGCGCCTGTAATTCCAGCTACTCGGGAGGCTGAGGTAGAGAACCGCTTGAACACGGGAGGTGGAGGTTGCAGTGAGCCAAGATCATGCCACTGCAGTCCAGCCTAGGCAACAAAGCAGGACTGTCTCAAAAAAAAAAAAAAAAAAAAAAAAAAAAAATTCCATTTAAATCAGGAAATAAACGTTTGAAGGTAGTTAAAAGTGAGACTTGAATTTTATGCCAGCTTTACCGCTTAGTGTTTTTGACCTTTGGCAGCTTAATCACTCTGTGCCTCAGTGTCTGCATTTATGTGATAGTAATAATTTATTTCACAAAGTTGAAATGATACACTGAAGTGCAATACCATTCTGTAAGTGCTTAAATCAATGGTAGTGTCAGCACTGTGCATAATATTTGTATGCATAAAAGGAGGTCTTAAGCACTCAGCCTCCTTGGTGTTGGAAGCAGCTGTAAAAATAATGAAACTGTCTTTTAAAAACTACTATTCATAATTTTTATTAAATCAGATAGTCCCTCTTTTCTGCCTAATTTGAATAAATGAAGTTCACTGCATTAGGTATATAGACATGCCATTCTGCCATCTGTTTTTATAATACATAGTTACCTAACAGCTTACAGGTAATACTAAAACATAGTTGGATCAGCTGTCTTGCTGCACCCTTCTGCATCCACTAGTCCCATAGGTGGAGTACCAAAAGATCCCTACAAGTTGTATTAATCATTGTTGAAAGACCTGTGCAGTGCCCTTCTTTCTCACTTCCCAAATGCCTCATCTTGTCCCATACTGCCTCATTTGACTTGGTTTCTTGCCTGTCCCCAACTCCTATTATATTACTGTCTCCTTCGGTCACTAAAATCCAGCCACTCCTCCTGTTCCTCAAACACACCAAGATCATCCAATCTTTGAGCCATTCTACATGCTCTGCCAACTGCCTTCTCCTGACCTTAGGCTTCAGCTCAGATTTTGCCTCAGAGAGGCCTTTCTAATGAAGTTTCTGCCTCTACTCTCTAACAAACACCTGCTCTGTCTTGATTCCCACTTACAAGGATATGATTGTATTCAAGTTTTACTATTTATGGTCTTTTCACACCATGAATGTTCACATTTTGGCCTATTCATACAAGTATTACTAGCACCCAAAATAAATCTACACCTACTAAAGACTTGTTTTCTAAATATTCATGCTTATCTTCATGTCTTCTAAGTTGTACCTGTTTTCCCACTTTTCTTCCAGGTCAAGACTGATACAGTTCTGATCTTATGTAGAAAGAAAGTGGAAAACACAAGGTGGGATTACCTGACTCAGGTTGAAAAAGAGTGCAAAGAAAAAGAGTGAGTCACTTTCATTTTTTAAAAGAATTTTAATGTATTTGAGATTATGGATTTTTAATAGTTTGTCTTTATGGTTTCAGCTATCAGTAACTATCTGAAGAGGGCACATATCCAGCAAGTTGCTTTTTAAGAAGGTCTTTGTAGTTAGGGTTGGCTCTTTAGTGTGGTTCTTAACCCTAGGCACAGTTGTGCTTCTACGTGAATACTGTGCCCATTCCCAGAAACATTTGTTTCAGTAGTTCCAAAGAGGCTCAGATACCCCTGTATGTTTTAAATTTTTCAGATGGTTGTGATATGTAGTTGTTTTCATTGTCACTGGTTTAGAGTGAAAAAAAAAATCTTTATGCTTCTTAATGATGACTTTTTAAAAATGTTTATTTGATGATACTTGCATTGTAGGTCAGTTTATCTTCTAGAAGTACTGACCAAAGATGATGCTGTCACCACTAGGCCTAGATCTGTGTAGCTCAGGCTTAAGAGGAAAGCTTTTCTAATTAAAAAATACATGAGCTTCAGGGTACATCCATGTGTAATGTACATTTGTGTGTTTTTTTCCCCCCAAATTATGAGGAAACATGCTTTAAAAAAATCAAAAGTTAGAAAACCAAATCCTTACTTATTTTGCCTGTTAAAAAATCACAGGGGTGGAGGAGTGGCTCATGCCTATAATCCCAGCACTTTAGGAGGCAGAGGTGGGTAGATCACCTGAGGTCAGGAGTTTGAGACCAGCCTGGCCAACATGGTGTGAAACCACATCTCTACTAAAAATACAAAAATTAGCCAGGTGTGGTGGCCCATGCCTCTATAGCTACTCGGGAATTGCTTGAATTCGTGAGGCGGAGGTTGCAGTGAGCCAAGATCATACCACTTCACTCCAGTCTAGGTGACAGAGCAAGACTCTGTCTCAAAAAAATAAATCACAGGAAATCCCACTGCCTCAGAATAGCCCCTTAATATTGTGATCACTCTTTCATGCTTCAAGTGTGTGCATGTTTGGTAGGTGTGTGTTTTCATTAAGATGAATTTGCATGCTGTTTTGATTGTGAGTATCTTTCTTTGGATGCTCTGTCTTCTCTCAATCTCCATCCCTCTACTTCCTGTCAGTGTTAACCTGAATTATGCTATCTATCTTTCCATGCTTTTGATTCTCCATTGTTGTATGTTTTCTTTTTAACAGGAAGCCCTCCTATGACACTGAAACAGATCCTAGTGAGGGATTGATGAATGTTCTAAAGAAAATTTATGAGGATGGAGATGATGATATGAAGCGAACCATTAATAAAGCCTGGGTGGAATCGAGAGAGAAGCAAGCCAAAGGAGATACAGAATTTTGAGATTTTTAAAGTCCTTTTTGGGAACTGTGATGTGATGTGGGAATACTGATGTTCCCAATAAGGGAATATTGGCGAGCTGCATATATAAATTTGACAGATAGCTATTTACATAGCCTTCTAAGTAAAGGCAGTAAATTCTCCATTTCCTACTGGAGGATTTATTTAAATAAAATATGCTTATTAAACACAACTGCAAAGATGGTTTTGTTAGTATCCTGGTCATTTTGTTCAAGGAAGGGTTATAATTGCATTCTCTTGTGAAATATAAAAAGCAAGTCTTGCCCAAGTAAAAGGCTACACTGTGTGTATTTTTGTTCACCTAAGAATTACAAAAGTATTTGCTTGCCTGTAAGTTAATGACATCAGCTTCCACCAATGTAAAAACTGAGTAAAACCTGAATTTTTGCATAAAATGCAAATCTGTGCCTGTGCCTGAAGGTTGTAGAACATCTGACTCCTTATTAGCAGCTTAAGCAATGTATCTGCCATGTATTACCGTGCACTAATGCAATCACAAATGTTTCTATCTAGATTTAAATGTATTTGTTAACAAAGGTAGAATAGAAACCAAACCTAAACATGACAATAGACAAACATCTTTGTATGGTACCAGTTAGTTTTGCCATGGATCAGATGGTTTATAAAACTAATAACCATAAAACAAAAGATAATTTGAAAGCCCATCTATTCCTGTGCTGAATAAAGTTTTTCTTCATTAGAACAGTTTTATGATTTGTTTGTCTAGGAGTATGTCAGAAAAGTGAGGCTTTTAGTAGGAATTATTACTGTTACCTCTGATTTCAGGAGCAGTACCATTGATCTCCATTATTGTATTTTACTGGAGGTATTAGTCAATCAATGCAGTTAGATCAGAGAAAGCAACTGAAGCCAGGCATGGAGGTTGGCACCTGTAATCCTAGCTACTTGGGAGGCTAAGGCTGGAGGATCACTTGAGCCCAGGAGGAAGGCTGCAATGAGCTATGATCATGCCACTGTACGCCAGCTTGGATAAGAGATCGAGAACCTGTTTCATTTAAAAAAAAAAAAAGCCAATTAGACACACAGGGAAAATCCAAAAGGGTAAAGCTACAATTAATATGGGAATTTGGAAAAAAAGGTAGGACTTAAAATTAAAATACAGAAAGAGTTTATGTATAGTATGCCTGTAAGTAAATACTGAAACACATGCCTCTGTAATTGGTGTTAGCACATGAATAAATAGACCAGTGGAACAGAAGAGCAGACACAATGCATAGAAAGTAGAGTATGGTAAAAGTGGCATCTTTTTAAAAGTGGAATAAAGATGGGTTTTTAATAACTAAAAATAGGCATATAGATATATCTCAAGCAGACTGAAGATCTAATTGTAAAAATGAAAGCCTACAAGCACTAGAAGATACGGATGGAATTCCAGTACGACCTAAGGATGGGGGAAAACTAACCTAGAAGGGATACAACTATTGATCAATTTTAGCTACATTAAAATGTTTATGACAAGAAAAACCCCACTATTAACCCAAACCAAACGATACACTGACAGGAGTCCAACAATTAAGAACAAGTATTTCGTAGAAAAATGTAAATTACGTTTAACATGTAAAAATGCTCGCCTTGTTAGAAGAGAATAAACCAGTTTTCTACCTTTCGCTGGAAAAATAAGTATTGATTGTTGAGGTTATGGAGAAATAAGGACACATGGGAATGGAATGAAAAAAATAAACTTTGGTTAACACTCATAAGGAAGAGTATTTGAGCTGGGTGCGTGGTTCACACCTGTACTCCCAACCCTTTGGGAGGTCCCGGCAGGTGGATCACTTGAGGTCAGGCATTCAAGACTACCCTGGCCAACATGGTGAAACCCTGTCTCTACTGAAAGAAAAAAAATTAGCTGGGAGTGGTGGTGAGTGCCTGTGATTCCAGCTACTCAGGAGGCTTAGGGACAAGAATCACTTGAACCTGCGAGGCAGAGGTTGCCACTGCACTCTAGCCTGTGTGACAGGGTAAGACTGTCTCAAAAAAACAAAGTATTTGGTAATAGCCATCAGAATTACATACGCATTCATCCTCTGACTCAGACTTTTAACTTCAGGGCTCTGAAACGTACATTTACAAAAATTTGGAATGCTACATGCAAAAGATTGGAAGTACCCAAGCGTCTTTTAACAGGAATGTATTATGGCACATCCACATGAGGGAGTAAAGTTGCAAGACAATGAAGATGATTTCTATAAAATGCAAAATGGTCACCGGGATACAGTAAGTGGAAAAGCAAAGTGCAGAACATCATTTATGGTACACCTACTGCCTTTGTATAAGAAAAGGTGGGAAATGTGAATGTATGCACATAGGTGTATTTGCTTATGTTTCAAAAAGAAACTGGAGTAAACCCAAAGCTAATACAAACTGTTACCAGCAGGAGAAGGAAAGAGATAAAGATGGAATTTTTTCTAGAGTTTTGACTTCAGAACCATCTAAAATTTAACATGATTGAAGAAGTAAAAATGATCCTCAACCTAACCAGCACATTGTCTTGGTCTATTCCTGTTGCTGTAACAAAATGCCACAGACTAAGTAATTTATAAGTAATATTTATTGGCCAGGTATGGTGGCTTATGCCTATAATCCCAGCACTTCGTGAGGCTGAGGTGGGCAGATCACAAAGTCAGGAGTTCAAGACCAGCCTGGCCAGCATAGTGAAACCCTGTCTCTACCAAAAATACAAAAATTAGCCAGGTGTGATGGCACGCACCTGTAGTCCCAGCTACTCAGGAGGCTGAGGCAGGAAAATCACTTGAACCCAGGATGCAGAGGTTGCAGTGAGCTGAAACCATGCCATTGCACTCCAGCATGGGTCACAGAGCAAGATTCCATCTCAAAAAAAATAATAATAATTTCTTTCAGTTCTGGAGGCTGGGCAGTCTCAAGATTTGGCACCAGCAGACACATCTGGTAAGGTCTTGCTTTCTGCTTCCAGTATGGCGCCACCTTACAGTATTGGAAGGGTGGTACAGTGTGGAGCCCTCCTGGCCTAATTACCTCCTAAAGGCCCCACCTCTTAATACCAATGCATTGTGGATTAGATTTCAGTGTGAATTTCGGAAGTACACAAATGTTCAAACCATAGCATATATAGTTGGCAGTATAAACTACTTTCAAGTAACTTTAGAACACAAGTGTTTGCCCACTGGTAGTGAGATGGATTCTAAGGACAAAAACACAAGTGAATCTAAAACTAATCACTAGTGTTAGTAAAATTATAGTATATTGAAACTTTTAATATATTTTATGATAAAGGTAAATAGGCTGATGTCATTAGGAGCTAACGTTTTTATGTGAAAGAAACACAACTCTAAAATCAACGTAAACTCGCCATTGTTACTTTTTTTTTTTTTTTTTTTTTGACACAGGGTCTCGCTCTGTTGCCCAGGCTGGAGTGCAGTGGCACCATATGAGCTCACTGCAACCTCAGCCTCCCAGGTTCAAGGGGTTCTCCAGCCTCAGCCTCCTGAGCTGGGACTACAGTCATGTGCCACCTCGTGCAGCCAATTTTTGTATTTTTTGGTAGAGACAGGGTTTCACCATATTGGCCAGGCTGGTCTCGAACTCTTGACTTCAAGTGATCCACCTGTCTTGGCCTCCCAAAGGGCTGGGATTACAGGCGTGAGCCACCACACCCGGCCTAGCTATCAGCACCCCCTAGTGCTCAGTGTGGTCTCTAAATTAAACGCCATTTCCCTCAAAAAAGACCAGGAACCCTTGGAAAAAATGTCTGAGGCAGGAAATGCACAAAGCAAACCTAGGTTAGCTTATGTCAGAAAGCAAGGAGATACTGAAGAATCCTGTACCAAGTCCATAGGATACGGGAAGCAACTTAAGGGGCTCCACTGGTAATGGGACAATTTGAGCAAGAAATCATGAGTGCAGCGGACTGAAACATACAAAATTTGCAAGTTCACAATGACAGTGAAAAGTGAGTGACTTGTTACCATTTCCACTGGCTACAGCACCAACTTATTTACTCTGAAAATTGTTAAAGAATCATCCACTAGGTCAGGTGCAGTGGCTCATGCCTGTAATCCCAGCACTCTGGGAGGCTGAGGTGGGCAGATAATGTGAGATTGGGAGTTTGGGAGCAGCCTGACCAACATGGAGAAACCCTATTTCTACTAAAAAAACTTAGCCAGGCATGGTGGCACATACCTGTAATCCAAGCTACTCAGGAGGCTGAGGCAGGAGAATTGCTTGAACCCAGGAGTCTGAGGTTGTGGTGAGCTGAGATCACGTCATTGCACTCCAGCCTGGGCGACAAGAGCAAAATTCCATCTCAAAAAAAAAAAAAAAAAATCAATTTATCTTGAAGAAATGAATTTCAGGAAAATAAATTGCTGATAAGGAAGGGTTCTTGACACAACTTCTGGCCAATACAGAAACATTATGGAATTAGAAAATTACAATTGCAAACCTTAGTAAAACAGTAGATCAGGGTAATCACCAATGAAAAGCAAAAACTGCTTGCTTCAGCAGCACATATACTAAAACTGGAAGGATACAGAGGTTAGCATGGCCCCTATGCAAGGATGACATGCAAATTTGTGAAGCATAAAATGTAAAACAAAACAAAAAGCAAAAACCATTGAGTGGCAGGTTAATGAATGGTGAATTTCAAATGCAAGGACCAGGCTAATCCCACCCAAACCTGCTGGTCAATCTAAGCATCATTAAAAGTTAGACAACCAGATACGTGCCTTCTGGGCAACAGTACACAGCACCGCTGTTGAAAGTTTGTCTCTAAAACACGGAGCCTGACTCTAGGCCAGTCTCAGTGTAACTACCAATTTATAGGGAATTTGGGTGACAGGACTAAATTAAAAGATGCATGAAAGAATCAAACAGCTAAATGTTGGACATTGTACAGGAAAAACGGCCTAGTTCCTCCAACAAATGAATGACATAAAGGAGTGGAGGAAGATGTTTATCAGGGATTTAAGAGATGTGGCCACGAAATGAAATACATGGATCATACTTGTACTCATTCAAACCAAAAAGATGTGGGGTGTCCTTTCAATGATATGCCAGAAGTCAGTAAATCTGATTGTTCTAGTTATGATTAACACTAGTTACTAGCTAAGATACTAGCTAGAACATTCCAGTTGGTAAGTTGTCATACATATTTAAGAAATATAAATCCCAACTAGATTGTGGTAATTCCTTCGTAACTTCACCTCCACCTGAGTTTCAGACTGCTATCCAGCTGCGTACTAGACTTCTCCATCACATGACACAGGCATCTCCAACACTGCATGACTGGAACCTGAACTCGTGGATCTTCTGTTTTCTCTAAACCTGTTATTTTTTCAAATTTTCTATCTTGGAGCTGCCCTCTACCATCTATCTAGACACTTTTATCAGGAACCCAGAGAGCCATCTTTACCTTTTAATCAGTCTTGCCCAATTTTGTTTCCTAGAACTTTAAAAATCTGTCCTCTCTTCTCTACCAATACCAAGATGTTAGTTCAGGCCTTCATCTTCCTCAACAATTAAGATATCCTCCTAATTTGTTGTTTTGCCTGTAGCCTTTTCCTCTCATGGCCATCTGCCACACAGCTGTCACTTACCTGTATAGCAAACTGATGATGTCATTCCTTTGCTTAAAACTCTCTCATACCTGGTATGTTGGTCTTCGTTCCTTCACGTGACTTGTGAGATCCTCCACGATACAGCCTCTGTCATGTGCTTCATATTTCTGATCCACTGAAGTGACTGTGGTTCCTCTGTTTGATGCTAGAGAGTGTCTTTGCTTCTTTGTGCTTTTGTTCCGACTGTGTGCAGAAAAAATCTCATCCCTCACCTCCTGATTTATTAAGTTCTCCAGGAATATTTTCCTGATGTTAAGTAGGTATTTCCATTCTAATGTCTATTTTTATCACTGGGCTAATCACACTGTTGAGTTACTGAGTGAGAACTTCTTGCTACCCTTACTCATTTCTGTTATAGATTAAATAAACATAAAAATAGAGAATATATACTGCTCCAACAAAACTTTTCCTCTTTCGATAAAGATTTTCAAGGGCTTAAAGAGGCATAATTTGTTTTAAAGTCCGTTAAGGATGGACAAGAAAACACTTAGTGGTTCTTTTGTGCAGCCATCATACAAAGAAGTGGAGCATTAGGATCATCCAGAACAGCAGCCTTGCTATCCCCATCTACTGTTTATCTAACAATAATAGTAAGGGGAGCTCCGCAGTTCAGGACAGCTGGCCCAGCATTACAAACTGCCATAGATGAGCTACATGTCAATTAGTTGGATTACGTGTAAGATAATATTTTATGAAATAATGCTCTTAAAAATACAAAAACCCTGGGCCAGGCACAGTGGCTCATGCCTATAATCCCAGCACTTTGGGAGGCCGAGGCAGGTGGATCATGAGGTCAGGAGTTCAAGACCAGCCTGGCCAATATGGTAAAACACTGTCTCTAATAAAAATAAAAAACTAAAAAAAAAAAAAAAAAAAAAAAAGTATTAACCGGGCATGGTGGCAGGTGCCTGTAATCCTAGCTACTCGGGAGGCTGACGCGGAGAACTGCTTGAACCTGGGAGATGGAGGTTGCAGTGAGCCAAGATCATGCCACTGCACTCCAGCCTGGGCGACAGAGCAAGACTCTGTCTCAAAAACAAAACAAAAAGCCCACAAAGCTTCTTATGTGTTACTAAAAGATTAAACTTAAAAGGAGGATATAAAAGCATTCACAGAAAATATTTATTATACTACTCTTTGCACCATGTATGGGAACAGTATGTTTATTAAGTCCAAGAGAAGAGATAATTCACTGACATGACATACCCAAATTTCTTCATTTTAAAAGTAGTTTATAGATAGCATCAGGTAGACTAAACAACTATACTGGGCCCATGTAAAGATTAGGGTTGGGTCTTTTCTTGCTGGAACCAGCTTCCCTGCAAGCTCAGTAGGTTCTGGAGCTAATTACCACATCGCTCTCTGGACCCCAGAAAGTTGGCCGTGGTCTGCTAAGTGACGGAAGACGATACGACTAAGCCTCCAGCGCCGCTTCACACCACGCGGGCGGGACGTCATAACACATCGATTTCTGATTCTAACAGGACAGCTATCCCGGGGGAAGGCAGCAATTTCTTCATCAGCCACGTCCTAAGGGAAATCACATTATTACACAGATCACATTACATTGTTGCACATATTGTATTTTGCTCCTTCTTACTGGCAGGTAATTTTTTTGTTTTTTGAGACAGAGTCTCACTCTGTCACCCAGGCTGGAGTGCAATGGCAAGATCTTGGCTCACTGCAACCTCTGCCTCCTGGGTTCAAGCGATTCTCCTCAGCTTCCCGAGTAGCTGAGATTATATGTGTGTACCACCACGCCCAGCTAATTTTTTGTATTTTTACTAGAGACAGGGCTTCGCCACGTTGCCCAGGCTGGTCTCAAACTCCTGAGCTCCAGCAATCCACACCACTTGGCCTCCCAAAGTGCTAGGATTACAGGCGTGAGCCATAGTCATGGTATGAAAATGAAAATTACATTTTCACTGCATGAGTACCACAATACATTCATCCACCCTACATTTGATGGTGGTCATCTGGGTCATCTTCCGATTTAAGCAAATATGAATAGTGCTGCTACATACTCTTAAGTCATTTCTAAAGTATGTGAATACATTTCTATTGCCTCTTAATGATTTTTGAATCATGAAAGTTTGAAACCTCTGGGCTGATGATCAAATTAAGGAGGGAATGTGGCTTGAGAGAAGACTAGAGACGGAGGAAGGAGAGAATCACACGGAGTCAGTAAAGATTCTGACTACTGGAGAAGTAAAGGGGAGAGATCAGATGAGTTTTATTTTAAAAAAAATTATTCGCAATGTAGAGGATGAATCAGGTAAGGGCAGAGTGGCTGAGGGGGGAAAAGTAGGGATTTCAGCAGTAGCTTGGGCTCAGGTTTTGTCAGCAGAGATTTCTTATGTTTGTGTTCAAGAGTGTATGTGTTCATAATATTCACTTTCATCTGGAAAGTGTGCTGATGAGCATGATGGACCCTGTGCTAGACTGTGGTACAAGCAAAATAACACATTAAAAGAACACAAATGAATGTATGTAACAGCCACAAAATTAACATAAAAGCTTATGCATGTGTTACCATTATGAACTAAGAGAATTACATGAAATAACATGATTCAGCCACTGAGTAGTAGACAATAAATGCTACACAAGGAACTGGAGAGGAGAAATTACTGGGCAAGAAGACTGAAGCCAAGTTTCGTGGAGGTGGACCTTAAAGAATGGCTACAAATTGTTGATTGATTGAAACATACCCCTTGTTGTTTCCCAAAAGATTTAAGGCAGTTTACAAATGATGAAACTGGGGCAAAGAGAAATGAGAGTAGAAAAGATAAAACCCTCAGGACACAAAAGTGCATGCTGTGAAAGCCTGTAAGTTGGTTAGAACTGGGATATAAACTTGACTTGTAAGCTACTTAGCAGGCAGCAGAGACCCATGATCACTTTCCATGATTCACAGACTCGCAGTTACTGCTGCTAGTCACACCAGAGACATTTCTTCTGGGTGTCTTCAAAAATGTACTCAACATATCCCCAGCTGTATTAAGGTATAATTGACAAAAACTGCATATATTTAAGGCATACAATGTCATGATCTGCTATACATATACAGTGTGAAATGATTACCACAATGAAATGAATGCAACCCTCACCTCACAAAATCACCTTCTGTGTGTGTGGTAAGAACAGTTCAGATCTACTCTCTTAGCAATTTCAAGTATACAATACAGTACTACTGACTACAGTCATGGTGCTGTGCACTAGCTCTCTAGAATGTATTAATCTTATGACAGAGAGTATACCCCTTTGACCAATATCTCCTGATTTCTCCAGTGATACCCCCAGTCCTGCTAGCTCCAAGCAACCACCATTCTACCCCCTGCTTCCCTGACCAATATCTTGAGCTCAGTTTCTTGGAGGCCACTTCTTGTCTTTTTTTTTTTTTTGAGACAGAATCTTGCTCTGTCATCTAGGCTGGAGTTTAGTGGCATGATCTCGGCTCACTGCAACCTCCGCCTCCCGAGTTCAAGTGATTCTCCTGCCTCAGCCTCCCAAGTAGCTGCGATTACAGGCGTGTGCCACTGCGCCCAGCTAAGTTTTACTCCTGACCTCAGGTGATCTGCCTGCCTCGGCCTCCCAAAATGCTAGGATTACAGGCATGAGCCACCACGCCCGGCCTGCCATTTCTTATTACTCCCTAAATGTAGGAAAGTAGCTTAATGCCATTTTAGTGTAAGCCATAACCCAGTGGTCCAAAACCTTCAGTTTTCTGCTCATCTGGCTTAATCCAGACAAGACTAAAAAGAATCCATCGTAATAAATAGGATGTGTATCATTCTGCCCACTTCTCTAAATGTAATTTAAAAAAATCTGAGCTCTCAATCAGTTGGGTGGCCTTGAGTTTAATTTATATCTCCCTGACAAGCCTCTTGGACAGATATTCTACATCGCCACTTAGGTGCAGGGCCTTATGCTTCAGAAAGCCAAGCAGGGTTGATATCCTCTTACTCAACCCAAGCAGTGTGACAAGAAAGTAAGCTTAAATGGAAAGGCACTTCAGCACACAGAGGTGCGCAAGGGAGTTCAGGAAGACAAGCTCAGGATGGTCCTGGGTAAGGAACAGTTTAGGCCACATGCTAAGCACACAGCCTGCAACATCAGCAATGCCTCCCAATGCCTTGCCAGTTAAGACTGGGATGAATTCGGCCGGGCGCGGTGGCTCAAGCCTGTAATCCCAGCACTTTGGGAGGCCGAGGCGGGTGGATCACGAGGTCAAGAGATCGAGACCATCCTGGTCAACATGGTGAAACCCCGTCTCTACTAAAAATACAAAAACATTAGCTGGG